TGGAATTGATGAAATCCGCCTTGAGATGCTCAGGGCATTAGGCGAACAAGGTATGTGCTGGCTAACACGTGTCTGAGAAACTGCGATCACTGTGGGAAAAACAGCAGCGTACTGGTGAACGGGAGTTATTGTACCCGTATTCAAGAAGCCAGACTACAAGGAATGCTCCAGTTGTAGGGGCATAACGTTATTGAGCCTCCCAGTTAAAGTCTACGCAAAGGTGTTAGAAAGGAGGTATCGTGAAATAGTTGACCTCAAGATACAAGAAGAGATCCCACGGATCCCACGCAACAGTCGGTGGTCATGCCTTCGTCATACGGAATTGATAGCTAGCTGCTAAGTGCCATACAATCACTGTATTCTGATAGCAGGTGCTGCGTCAGTGTTAATGACGCCATGTCGAAGCCATTCAACGTTCGCACTGGTGTCCGCCAAGGCTGCGTCCTGTTCCCTGTCCTGTTTTTATTGTACATGGATAGAATAGTCAGGAGCTGCCAAGGCGATAAGGGTATCGGTGTAGGATATGTGAAGTCGAGAAGGTTGCTGTTTACAGACGACGTTGTTTTATTGGCACCTGTTGAAACTGATCTACGGTGCGGCTTGGAGAGGGTCGCATGCGGGTACGACGTGACCGGCATGCGTGTGAACGCATCTAAAACGAAAATCCTAGTGCTTTCTCGTTCTCCTGCCCGTTGGTCTCTTCAGATTAACGGAGAGGCAGTGGAGCAGGTGGAGGATTTCAAGTACCTCGGAACTGTGTTTACTAGTGATGAAAAATTTGGCGAAGAGATCGACCGGCTAATTGGAGTAGTCATTGGCGTTCTGCGTAAACTGGCCCGACCCATTGTGACTAAAGCAGAGCTGAGTCTGAAACCTAAGCTCTCTATGTTCAAGTCGATCTTTATCTTCATGCTTACCTGCGGTCATGAATCGTGGACCATCACTGAAAAACTTCGAACCCGGGTACAAGCTGCTGAAATGGGCTTTCTTAGACGATTCGCTGACGTTACGCGTCTGGACATGGTCCGTAACAGTGACATCCGGAAGAGCCTCTGTATACAGCATTTGCCTCTCCACATTGAGAAGTGATAGCTGCGATGGCTTGGGCATGTGTTGCGAATGCCTCCAGAAATGAAGGCTAAGCAATTGTTCCTTCCAAATCCGACCGGCAAAAGGCCCAGGGGACGGCCAAAATTAACCTGGTGCAAAGATATGGAGGGAGTCTGTTCCAGACTGCATTTGTCTTTTGCCGAAGCTCAGAGTCTGGCACAGGATCGGGAACGTTGGAAGCTCTGTGTGACGTGGCTTCCTCCGCGACCTAAAAGGAGAAGCGGCGATGGACACTGGAGATGATGAATTCGACCCTACAGAAAGAGTACTTCCTGGAAGGAGGAATGTGGTTTCCATCCTAGTTGTATAAACATTCTAACGTCTGATATTGCTTGTAATAATATTCAATATTTCCCAAAACAGAATACAGTGGCAAATGGTGATAACAAGTATGGGGATGTCGTAATTTGGATTCATAGGAGTTCGTATAACTGCGTACAGCTGATTTTCTGGACGGCTCAGTTTCATTTCAAGATGATGAAATTTAGTGATCTGGCAGAACTTCGTCAGTTGCAGACTGTTATAATTGTGTGAAGTGGGTCCTTAGCATCTTGCAGTATCCGTTCAACGATGAAGATGGAATCATGAGAAACGATTTGCGCAATGATATTGTCCGCGACACCTTATTTCATTCTTCCAGTTCTCGCGATTGTCCTAATACGTCGCCGTAGTAACGTAAAACCACTTCCCGTTAAGGTTCCAAAAAGACTGGAGAAATTTAAGTGATCACTGGCGTTACATAGCACCTTGTTAGTCTTCAGAGAGAATAAACAGCTGATCAAGATATGGTTAAAGAGGAATAGTAGAAATTGGATTTCATTATCTTTTTAATGACTGAAACCGTGTTGTTAAACCATGTTAACCTGTTTATTGTGACTACGCCAAAATGCTTCACATTTTTAATCCTGGTGACCGGCTTCTGGAATGAATTAGTTTCTTATCTGGCAATGTCAGTGAGGTCGTGGTCCGAGTGTTTAAAGTAATACACACTACACACACACTTTCTCAGGTTAAGGACGAATCCATGTGAGTTCAGCTAGTATAATAGTTTCTTCATATTACTCTTACATTCTTCGAGGTCTTCGCGGTTTCTGACATCTGTAACGGTACTTTTGTCTGCATATTTCGGGCATATGTGGAATAGTTCTTGTCTAAAGTTTTTGGTGTAAAGGGTGAAAAGTAATATGGTGAGAGATTAAAATTGTGGAGCGCCGAGATTAGGATACAGCTGTTGTCATTCGATGACGTTGAAGGGCGCAAACCGTTAACGATGAGACAAGTACGCCATAGCAGTCCATAGAACGAATGGTTAATGTTAATATCAAACAAGGTGGAGAGTAATCTATTTCTTAATAATCGGAATCAAACCGCTGAAAGGTCAGAAATCATTTTTTTATTAGACTTTTGCCTTTTTTAAATTCTACAGCCGCGCGTTGCATAAAATATAAAGTGGGGCTTCGTCCGGTTGTGAAATCAATTTATAGACAATTTTGATATTAGTCGAGGTGAACAAAAATGAATGCTAGAAGAAAATTTTCCAGCCTTTCATAGCAGCCGAACTTACGGTAATCGATCTAAAGTCCTGCTGCGGCCAGTTTGTTCCACTTCGGTATTGAAGACACCCTCAGCGTATGCCAAAAGTGTGGGAAAAAAAGGCGTTTTTCAAGCGTTGGTTAATGTCAGTCAACACGTTGCTTAGCTCAACCCAGCAGCATTACAATATCAGAGTGATACCCAATTGTTCCCAGCTGGCGATAATAAACATAGTTATCGAAGGTAATGTGCAACAACAGATGGGAATCTAGTTGGTTTCTCCTCGTTGAGGGTGGTTAGGTTCTGTTCTGTGCGGAATGTCGTTGAAATACGTACACGATTCTCATGGTAAAAGAAGAATCAGCTGAGGTCACCTGCATGATGATTAAGAGAGACATGTTATACTTTAATGATATTTAGCCATTTTGCGAATGTTTTGACAATTGTTTTGCCTTTGCAGCTGGGTTTATATTTTCATGTTTCATTCGTTTTCTAGAAAGTTCCAGAGCTTAACGTCGTTCGCTATGGCGATCACGTACAACAAAAAAATAGCGTGGACATCGGTCTAACGGTGGAAAGAAACTTCCGTCTCATTACCGCTGTCGTTTCCTCTGCTGATTCATTTGGTCTGGCACACATTTTTGCTAAAGTTGCGGTAAAAATAACAAATGATATTTTCCACTGAAGATTTACAGTTATGTTAAATGTAACAAATTTTAAATAAATATTTTCTCGATATAAATTATAAACAGCAGCAGTTACGCACCAAGTAGCCGTAATAGCAGTAGTAGCAGTAGGCAACTATATATTGATGAAAAGGTGACACGGATCATCGAAAAGTCTTACTCACTAGATTTTCAGATCCTTTTAGAGATTATTCTCAGAATATTGACTTTTACTAAGTTTTTTGTTTATTTGTAGAAATTCTGTTTTAGATGTTCTACTGATTTGACTTCGGCTCTTTTCTGATTCTGTTATTGTTTTAATGTAG